TGATTGGCTCTGCAGATGCATGTGGCGCACAAAGCTGGGATGGGCATCGGCGTGGTGCTGCTGATCGCGTTGTTGGGCGGAGCCATCTTTGTGGGATACCGCTTCTACCGTAACAACACCAAACCCTTCCAGTTCCACTACTTCAAGGTCAGACTGGAACTTTGCACTGAGGCTAAGGTTCCAGGGGGAGTGCTGTCAGTGTGACGCACCTCATCATGACATTTTTATTTGACGCAGCTTCACTATCGATCTTCACTCGTGTAACTCGAGTTACTCCTGTGGTTGCTCTGACAGGAGGATGACGGGGAGGAAGAAGCTCCGCCCACAAACAGCAGCCGCAACATCTGTAACCCGGTGTATGAAGCGGCGCCAGCGGCTGGCGAGTCCAGTGCGTCGGCGGTCACGGTGAGTCATCGGCGGACGTTTGTGCAGCTCAGAATGAAAGCTGTGACCAACGACCAGACTGCAGTCTGCTATCGGTTTACAGCACGCTCTGTTTCATTCAAACCTTTCAGGCTCTCACTCTGACGACTGAGAGGAGGATTTTATTACACTGTGTTTGCAGGTGGACGACAAACACGAGGTGGAGAACGCAGGAAGTTACGACCTGCTGCAGATCAGCTGAGAGGGAAGTGGAACCTTGGCTGATGTCTTTACCCCTCGGTGGACTGGGACCTCTGTGGCCAGCTGGGTCTCCGACACTGCCGGTGCAGACGAGTCCCGTTTCAGGCTTCTCTCTGTGAACTGAAGGACTGCTTCGCCCAAAACTTAAAGTTCGCCTAGCAGAGTTGGAAACAACACAACAATGCTTTTCATTTTCTCTGCAGTCTCTCATTTATGAAATGATTCCTGTATAAAAAATATTTTACAGCAGATATGTTTAAATTAACAGATATAAATGAAAAACTGCAAATAAAGCCGAGCTGAATGGGAATGCTGTCGTTTCATGGCCTCCATCTGCCTGTCAGAGAGTCGTCCTCATGACTAAATACTGAATGTGGATACTTTGATGTAGTGATGTCACTACACGCACAAACACACACAAGTGCAATAGGCAGAAATGTAAAATATGAGAATCTGTGATGAATGGATTAATTTCCTTGAGTTTTTCTGTGATTGTCCCAGAAACACTAGGCTGGGTTTGCTGTTCAGGTAAAACAACCAGGTGTGAACCGGCTTCACTGACACAGCCGGGAAGGAACTCATAGTGGGACTGAACAGAACACTGCAGGATTCAGAGGTCACTGACGGACCGTTGCCCCCTGCAGGCCACAGCTCGTTACACACTTAATGTGAAATGTAATGTTTTACCCGGTCGGTCGTACGCACAGCGGGCAGACTAGGAGCAGCTGGTTATAATCCAGTTTCCCTGCATGTGCACGTGAAAGGGGCGGTGTTGGCACCATCTGACTAATCTACAAGGGGCATTTCATAAGTCACATGACTATGGCACCTACACCAGAAACATACCAGTTTAAGTGAGCTGGACACTGTGGGGCCATGTGGGTGTGACCACAGTGTCTGCTTGGTGGTTTCTGTTAATTATTCTGCACCAAACTTCTTTTACCACAAAGAAATGTACTTTTTACTTCACTCCTACATTTGCTTGACAGGTGTATCTGCTGCCACCTGCTCTTCAGCACAAACTGATATTTTCACTCACCCACTCAGATGGGTACGTGTCAGATAATAACACATACCCATCACAGTCTGCTTCTCAGTCACAAATCTGAGAACCACACGATACAATATTAAACACATTCAGAAGGCTGTGCTTTCAAAACATACAAACGTGAGTGCTACAAAACTAATCTGTGTGAATAAAAAAATGACCTCAATAAACAGAGAGCTGATCATAGTGTACTTATGTAGTGAAAAACAATTACATTTATATAAAAGTGATCTATGGTCAGTTTCATGCGACATACTGTGAGATTTACATGAAAAGTAAATACAGGAACTTCAGTTGTATTTATTACTGATATAATACAGAGGAACCCCAACAATCACATAACCCCCATGAGCACGCACTTTGGTGACGACTCCCATTTAACAGGAAGAAATGTCCAGCAGATCCAGGCTCAGCGAGGGGCGGCCATCTGAGACACCGGTAAGAGAAAGAAGACAGGACAAAGACTTGCTGTGGAAGAGAGCCAGAGATGAACAATAACTAATGATTAAATGCAGAGAAGTGAGTGAAGAAGAAACACTGCATCATGGGAATCCCCTGGCAGCTTACACCTATTGCACCATAACTAAGGGAGGATTGAGGGTCACCTGATCCAGCCCGAACTGTATGCTTTAGCAAAAATGAAAGTTTGAAGCCTAATCTTAAAAGTAGAGATAGTGTCTGTCTCCCAAATCCAAACTGGAAGCTATTTCCACAGAAGAGGGGCCTGAAAGTTGAAGGCTCTGTCTCCAATTCTACTTTTAAATACTCTAAGAACTACAATTAAACCTGCAGACTGAGAGCAAAGTGCTCTAATTGGGTGCTACGGTACTATCAGGTCATTAAGATAAGATTATAGGGCCTGATTATTCAAGACCTTGTGAGGAGAAGGATTTGAAATTGTGGATTTAACAGGGAGCCAATAAAGAGATGCCAGTATAGGAGAATCTATCTCTACTCCTGTGTAATCCATAACTGTAAATTTAAATATTATAGGAGGTTTTCAGGAAACACTTAAATGTTCCATTTTATGCCACATGTCACAACTGGAGTGTGATTAAAGTGGTGGGTGGGCTCTTTCACATTTTGCCTTGTTTTAGTTTAATATTATATTAAGCGTAATGCTGAGGCTGTCATTTTTAGAATCTACATGGATGTTAAAATCACCCACAATAATTATTTTATCTGAGCTGAGCACTAAATCAGATAAAATCTGAGAATCTGTCACAGTAACTGGTTGAGGGTGAAGTTCAATAAGTCCATGACAGCATAATTCTGTACATGATGGCAAACACAGGTAAAAAAACAAGAGGACGATGCAACAAAGTCTGAGGCTATAAATCATTCAGGATCATTAGAGAGACAAAGGAAATAAAACTAAATGCAAGACACAAGGAGCCTACCAAAATAAAACACTAAGTAATATAATGGAGACTGAAGATGAAGACACAGAAATACAAGGGAGGCACAATAAACAGAAACTAAAGGAATTGAATATGAACAAAACTATAACCACAAAAAGAACTAGATGCTCAATAAGAGAATATAACATGAGAATATAAACATAAAAAAAGGAAATACAGTTGTGATATTTTTGCTGGTTTCTAGCTTGCTTTTAGTTGGTCTGGGAGCAGACGCAGGCTCTAAGGGGCAACTCTAGATAGTCACGTTTGGGAGGTTTTAATAAATTTGGCCAAATTTCTAGAAATATTGATTTCAGTGACACAACATAATCATTACTGCTGACGTGAACTATATTTTTTACTGAATTTATGTTTACCCTTAGTCAGCAGTTTGAAATTTCTCACAGCTCCCTGCTGGGGCCCCTGGATTGACTCTGGTTGCTGGTGTCTCTAGCGTCACATGTTTCAGACTCAACTGAATCAACTTCAGCTTTGGTTTTCATTACATATATTTTATTAATAACTAAACTTCATTTCCATCCATTTAATATAATAGCTAGTCTGTGAGCTAACAGGAAAGGGAAATGGATTTGAAAATGAGTGGAACTGCCATGTTAAATAAATCTTTATTTCTCTTTTTATATTGAATTAAAAAAAATCTGTTTGCTAATTTGGGATTTAAAAATTGTTTTTTGAAATGAGATTTTTATTGAGAGTTTAATAATATTTTGTGAAATCCAACATGGATTTGAAGTATTTATTAATGGATTAAGCATTCATTTTAAGTGTTTTAATTTTAAACTAAATTGTTAAATAATAAATTACTGTATTAAATAAATACAATTAAAAATTAATTTATAAATGCATATTTTATTGCATCCCTCTGGACTGGAATAGCTGTTGTCTTTACATTAGAAAGCCCCTTGTTGTGATTTGTTGCTCTATAAATAAAGCTAAGTTGGCTTTACAGTCACATAAACAGCACACTCTGCTTCTATGATCAAGTGTAAATTCTATGATTATCAGTGTGTTGCAGCTTCACCCTGTGGAGTGATGGAGAACTGCAGGTAATCTTCACTTTAAATCCTCAGAGGTGGATGTGTTATTTTTACGTTTAGATGTAACTGATTAATTTGACCATTATAACCTGTCAGGAGTTGGTTTGTTGATTCATGTTGTTGGTTACACACATATAAAAGAAGCTCTGAAAAAAAGCTTGAATTACACAGTTAAAAAAAAGAAAGAAAAAAAAAGCAAATATGATATCATAAAGTTATAGCTTCAGATGAAGTGAAGACTCAAAGTTGCCCGTCTCAAAGTCAGAGTTTGTTCTACCTCTGTTTCTTCCCCTTTTCATCTCCACTTTACCTCAGTAGTTATTTTGCCTGTCAATGAGGTGATTTTACTCGCATCAGAAGAGCTGGAGGAGGCGGCTGGCACAAAGAGGTCTGGGAGTCTGCTTGGACTATGGAAGGACCCGGAGAAGCAGCAGAAAATAATGGATTTATAGACATGCATTTACTATAATTACCCTAAAACACTTAATAAGGACTTATTGGTGAGTTTGAGCCAAGTCTTTTCTACAAAGTTGCAGCTTTTGTTTTGGGTGTTATTTAAGGCATTTCCTGCTGTGCCTGTGGTTGGCATGAAAAGAGGATGATGCAGCATCTGTAACCCGGTTTATGAAGCTGCTCCAGAGTCCAACGCATCAGCATTAAAAAAAAAAAAAATCAAATCCAGATTCAGACTCAAAGACGCGACTGTATTTAAGAAAAACAAAGACGTGTCAAAGAAAACGTTTCTGATCCTTTTTATAGCAAGGATCAATGATCTGCTTCCACAGACCGAAACTGACAGATTGAAGAGATTTATAATAAAAACAAAAATCTAATTTAAAACTTGGAACCATGGCTGACCAACCAACCAGATGTAAAACTGGAACATCTGGACTGAATGTGTGATGAAGAGTAAAAGTCAGCTTGATTAAAGAGTTTATTTTCAGTCAGAATTTGAAAATCATCTTTCTGATCCACGACTGATAATCTGACACTCTGGTGAAGATGGCTGGCTTCTCTGAGTCGCAGTGCCAGCTGCCCCATGTGGCAACACCAAACAGGAAGTAGGTGCCATATTTCTGACAGAAGAGTGGTGCTCCAGCGTCTCCCTGCAGAGACAAAGAGTGAGTTTCTCCTGATGGTTATCATCTCTCTCTCTCACTCACACACACACACACACACACACACACACACGATGAGGGCTGAAGGTCTTCCACGTCAGCCATGTTGGATCCATAAATATTTGGACAATGTTTTTGTTAATCAAAATTGAAGTGAAGACTTTTAGCTCTAAATCAAGAGGTTTAACAAAATATTACAGTAACTGTTTATGAAGTACAGACATTTTTATACTCAGCAGGCCTAACCTTCACGGCCAAGACACAAAATATGAATGATGAACATTTATTGATAATGAAGCAGCAAACTAGACCCTCAGTTGGGCATTAAATACCAAACTGAAGGCAGAGAGCCAGAAAGCATCTGAAAGTGCTGAAGTAAAGACCTGCACAGCATCACGAGGAGGAAACACAGCAAGTAGTCAACGGGGATTTTTATAAATTTGAGAAATTGTTCTTATATTTATGCTATTGTTCAAGTACTTATGGACCAAGCTGGAGCTACAGGCTCATGAACCTCAGACTTGGAACATTTCCTTCTGGAAGAAACACTGATTAAGGTAAAACCCAAGCAACTTTTGTAAAGAGTTAAAGAACAGCTTATGATTACAGAGAGGCACCACGGACATGAGATCGTGGAGTTTAGAGTCGATCACAGTCCCTAACAATGAGGAGTGTCCAGATCATCAAAATAGCTATAGGATTTTTAAAAATTTGTTTATCCTCCCTGATAAATGTCTAAAATGGAAAATCCACAACCTGAAATCACCTAAAGCACCTCAGTGATGTCATTTCTCTTTCTTCACAAAGCTTGTGTTCAGTGATGCATCTTTAAGGGAAGAGGATGTTTCACTGATAAATTACATGGATGGATATCCATCCTGTATTAATAGCTTTACAGGTGGTCAAAACAGCTCCCATCAACACTGAACATTAATGGTATCCACTGCTGTGTGCAGTAGATGAAGTTGTGCCGGACAGCTGTGCTTTGAAAGGAACACCAAACCGATGTCGGGTTTAGTTACCATACAGGATGTGGAGCCTGCAGGATGTGAACAGATGTGAGAGTCAGTGACGAAGCCTCCCCATTTCTGCCTGCAGGAGGTTGCGTTGACGAGTGTGAGCCCAGCGTGATGCAGCCGGTCTGGATCAACACCCTCTACCAAATTAAGAAGGGTGTAAAGTACGATCAGGATACACAGGTCTGAAGTCCTGTCACATGACTCAGTCTGATCACACACCAAACTACTGGTTGTTCCTGTTCTGTACACTATGCAGGAGGAATGAGGATGTTACCTTTCGCTTTAGTTGCTCCCCAGCCAGCTGTGATACAAGACCAGGTGTCATCCAGGTCGTCATCCTCATCAGGGACACAAACTGGAGACACTTCAGAACCTGTAGACAGAGTCAGGGCACAGTGAAGATTTCTCAGACACAGTGAAGACTTCTCAGAGTCAAATCTCCTGAAGGTTCAGGCTCACCAAGTCTGGCAGCACTGCTCAGGTGAAGCAGTGCCAGGTTAGACTTTGGGGGGAAGCCTGTTTTCTGCGGCGGGTTAAAGACTTTGTCCACCAGGATGGTTTGAACTGGCAGGAACTTGATGTCATGAAGCCCCAAAACTGCCACATCCTCTTTAGCCCTGCAGTAGTAGTAGTAGTAGTAGTAGTAGTAGTAGTAGTAGTAGTAGTAGTAGTCAGTAGGAACATTAGCAGAGCTGACACGTGACAGATTACACTGCAGTACTGGAGCCAGTATTAATGGTAGCAGGACTACCTGACGCCGCAGTGTTTGGCGGTGATAACCCAGTGGGGGTGGATCAGAGCGCCGCTGCAGTAGTGGCGACCATTAAACTGTAGGCTGACCTGCCAGGGCCAGAGGAAGGGGCAGGACTCAGTCACATTCACCACGGACAACACGCCGTCCACGGACAGCGAGATTTCGGCGAGGCCGGGAGTCTGATCACAGCCGGAGCTCTGTTGCTTACCGCACTCCTCTGTTACCCCCACATGCAGGAAGGGACAAAATAGAAACACCTGAACTACATGTTGATACACTGACTGGTGGATCTTCTGTTGCAGTTTAAAGATGGTGTGATAAAAAAAAAAAAAAAAAAGCTTACCTTCCTCTATGAGGTCATCTTCAGACACTTGAGCCTGATCACCTGGAAATGGAAGAAGTCCTTCAGAACAGACTCCACCTGCTGCAGGTGTAGAAAGGTCGTGGACTCTGAAACTCACCCATGGTGTCAGACATCCACTGAACATGCTGCTGCACTCTGGTGTACACTCCAGGTCTTTTGGCACGACCACAACCCACCCCCCAACTCACCAAACCTGCCAGCTCATACCTGGTGCCTGTGAAGCAGGACAGAGGACCTCCAGAGTCCCCCTGACACACATACAGGAACACAGACACCACACGAGTTTCTCAATACTCTCCAGATACATGCTGACTGAGGTTTCCTGGTCCACATGATGAACATTCCTTGTTTTCAGGCTGCACAGATGTTCAGCTTGTACCTGACAGGCATCCAGTCCCCCTTCATCCTTCCCAGCACAAAACATGGAGGGCCTGATCCTGCCTAGGTAGTACTGGTTGCAGGTATCCGAGGGCAGGATGGTCACATTCACTTCCTGCAGTCGGTTGACTCGAGGGCCATCTGGTGATGGAGAAAGAACACAAAGGCTCAGATCACACCTGAAGAACCCCAGCTTCCTGTGTACAGCAAACATTTCCTCACTCTCTCGGGTGGAGCCCCAGCCAGTGATGGTGCATTTCATGAGCAGAGGCAGCGGCGTCATCCAGATGTCGATGGGTCTGACGAAGTGGTTGAACTCCAGTGGTTTCTCCAGCTTCACCAGAGCAATGTCGCTCTCTTTAGACTCAGTGTTGTAGCTGTGATGAATGAAGATCATGGAGACTCCCACCAGCTAAGCAGAGAGATGGGAACATTTTCTCATCTCACATCAGGACGATTGTCTGTGCTACCTCCGAGGAACCAAAGAACCAAGAGAACACAGCCTGGAGCCTAACTCCGATCCCACCCAGATATCCACAGACCGAGGCTCCTCAGCACCCCAACAATAAATGACAGTGAAAAGCAATCATATTATTATTCCTCCTTAAAACATCGTAAGCTATGCAGTCAATGTCTTAGGTTATTACTGCTGTTTTTGCAAAGTAACAAAAATCCTTGTGCAGTGTGTTAGCACACTCTGGTATGACCCACATTTTAAGTTTTGTTCTAAGCTGTCCATCGGACATTTCAGAGGGTCATCAGTGAAACCCTGGACACAGAGTCACTGCTGTCTGCAATGCTGCTCGACTGATCAGCCTTCAGCTGACGTTTTTGATGACAAACAGAGTTTACAGTTCAGTGCCTGACCTGCTCCTGAGGCTCCTCAGCTTTATCCAGGTCATGTTTTCCAGCAAGAACCATCCACAAGGATACTTTATTATGCCTGTAACACAAGTCATGACATAATACTTAGTACTGATGTATTATTGTACAGTCTTTACATTCCAACATAAAACACCTCGGGGTGACTGTTACTATTATACTATATAAATAAAGTTGCTGACTTAGTTTGATGTGTACTCAGTAAGATAAGATATAAGACTGTATTGATCCCACAGCAGGGAAATTTGTGCATTTCCTCAGCTCAGGTACAGATATCAGAAGAAAAACACAAAAAATACAAATAAAACACAATAAATACAAAATAAGTAAAATAATACACTATAACGGCACACACAGTATGTGATTATGGATAGAGGGTTGTGGAAATATGCAAGACATAAATTTCACTATTCTACCATATCTATTACTAAGTAATAGATATCTGTGAGTATAGACAAGTACACACTAAATATACATTTGTATACATACACCTGCACATGTCCATACATATAAAGGTACATTATGCATGAAGTGTGACCGTAGATGTCCACAATGTCCAGTGACTCATGACATTGTGATTGAGGAGTTATAGAGTCAAACTGCTGTTGGGATGAATGATCTGCAAAAGCGCTCCTTCCTGCAGCGAGGGTGTTTCAGTCTCTGACTAAAGGAGCTGCTCAGCACACTCACAGACTCATGTAGAGGGAGATGTTGGTTGTTCATGATGAATGTCAGCTTTACTAAGATCCTCCTCTTGCCCACTGGCTCCAGAGGACATCCCAGCACAGAATAAGACCTCCACACCAGTTTGTCAGTCCTGCTCCTGTCCATGCATCCGCTCCCCAGCAGGCCACTGCATAGAAAAAGGCAGATGCTACCACAGTGTCATAGAATGTCCTTAACAGAGTCCTGCAGACTCCGAAGGACCTCAGTCTCCTCAGCAGGTGGCGTTGACTCTGGCCCTGCTTATACAGGACATTTGTATTTGTAGTCCAGGCCAGTTTATTGCTGAGGTGAACAACCAGGTACTTGTAAAAGTCCACAATCTCAGTGTCTTCTCCTTGGATGTTAACCAGTGTTTGTAGGGGTTTACTTCCTCCTGAAGTCTATGACCATCTCCTTTGTCTTGCTGGCGTTGATTTGGAGTGCGTTGGTCTCATACCAGCCAACAAAGTCAGTGATGACCCTCATCTATTCCTGATCATTCCTGTATGATATGCATCCGTTGATGGCTGTATCATCTGAGAAATTCTGTTGGTGGCAATGGTCCAAATTATAACAGAAGTCCGAAGTATACAGGCTAAACAGGAAGGGTGAGAGAACCGTGCCCTGTAGCACCCCTGTGCTGCAGATTACCACGTCGAACACAGAGGTGATAAACCTGATCCTGGATCTGTCCTGGTGTCAGAGAAGGTTGTTCTGAGCCAAAAACGCTCTAAATGTATTACATGTACTACTGCTACCATCTGACCAGGTCTAACACTGGAACCCTCTCTGAACATCTCAAACTATTCGAAACTATTTACAAAAAAAAAAAAAAAAAAAAAAAAAAGCCAACTGCAGAGGCTGCGACAAAACAAATGTGACCTCTGACCTTACGAAGCAGTGGGCAGCAGAGATGACCCACAGCGGGCTGACGATAGCACCCCCGCAGGCTGGCATGGAGGCGAGCTGCAGGGAAACCTGCCAGGGCCACGAGTGAGCCCAGGCCTCCTGACCCCCGATGATTCGGGTTTCCAGCTCCTGCTCCAGCATGAAGGAGCGCACCCCGGCGAGGTCTAAGGGCAGAGGTCAGAAGAGAGCTCAGCTAATTATTTCAGATAAAAACTGTTCAACCGCCAATGTTACAGAAAAATGACCATAAATACATAAATAAGCCAACGGGTTTAAGGAGAAACTTCAAAATAAAAGCACAGGCAGCATGGTACAACATATAAAGAGTTAAAATATTTTCAGCACCAATTTAAAAACATGAAACATTTTTATTTGTCAGTGAAGATCTGGCAGGGTTTCACAGGATTTTACTGTTTTAATACAAACTTACATACTTTAAAGTAACATTTCTAAATTATCTTTAAAAAAGCATTTTAAAAAATATTTAAATCATATGCGTATGATTCTTCCTCTTCAAAAACTAAAATATGTCCATTTTAATACTATTACAAGCCTATAACGATAACAAAATAAAAATATTTGTAAAAGAAACTTGTT